GGGGGCAGGCCCCCGTAGAGTCCTCCGCTGAAGGCAAAGTTCTGCATGCGCCTGCTCCCTGATTCCTCCAGGCCCAGGGAGCCAGGGCCCTCCACCCGTTTCTTCTATGGTTCACAATAAGGAGAGGGGAGAGATTGGAGAGAGGAGACAAGAGGTGAGGCCCAAGAGTGGTTAGCTTTTTCCACTCTAGCCTTAGAAAAATGGCTTTGGGAAAGGTTCTTAACTTCTAGCCTGTTCTCTCTGCCACACAACCTATTTCATGGTGTTGAAATCTTATGGTTTGGAAGAGACCTACCCAGTCATCTATGATGGTTCCCACACCCTGCTCCACAACAAAGTTTTCACCATCCTACATCAAGCCAAGGACGGTGTTGTGAGTTTTATATAAAGTAAAACATCAATTTTAATGACTATTCTTTATCCTAAAGTCATATAGCTCACTTTCTTATTTTGATATTAAAACGCCCTTTTAGGAGGATCACATGAGATCAGGAGTTTGAGACTAGCCTGGCCAACATGGCAAAACCCCGTCTCTACTAAAAATATAAAAATTAGCCAGCCTTGGTGGTGGGTGCCTATAATCCCAGCTACTCAGAGGCCGAGGAAGACACTTGAGGCGGAGGTTGCAGTGAGCTGAGATGGTGCCACTGCACTCCAACCTGGGTGACAGAGGGAGGCTCTGTCTCAAAATAAGTAAACAAACATTTTAAGAAATGCTCTTTTAAGAAATGGAAACAATAAAAGATGGCAATACATATTTTTCTTTTTTTTGAGGGGGAAAAAATTTGGTATCTTCATGTTTGGTGTCCAATTTTTAAACATTAATCTGAGAGCAAAACCATCCTATGGTGAAGAAAATATTTACTGGCTGCCTGGGCCTGGGAATGGGCTGCTGCAATGGGCCATGAGGGAAATCCTCTCTATCTTGATTATGGTGGTGGTTACATATATATTTGTCAAAAGTATACACTTAAATGTGTGCATTTTATCACATGTAAATTATACCACAATAAAATTGACATAAAACTAAAAATACCTAATTTTGTACTTTAATGACAAGAAAACATTCCAAAGGAATAAACAAAAAAAGAAAAAGAAAAAGAGCTCAAGGGGCATTATGGAGTCCCACAGAAAAACATCATCTACGTTTCCAGACTAGACTAAAGCTCATGAAACATTCTCCTCACTCACTTTTGGATTAAACAAAGCCTAAGCAGGAACTCTGACAGATCTTATTTGGTCTAACATATTCTAGAGACTTTTTTTTTTTTTAATGAAAAGTAAACTTTTCTATATCATCTCTAACCAGCATTTCCAATCACCTTCTGAATATCTCAATTATTAACAGGGATCTCACTACTCTAATGGGAAGTTTGTTGCTCTTTGAATAGTTCTAGCTATCTGGTAGTTCTTCCACATGCTGAATGATTGGAGCATCTCTGTAACTTCTACCTCTTGGTTCTTCAACATACATGATTTTTAAACTTAATCCACATCTGGGCTGACATTTCTATCTGTGCCATTGCCACTCATAAAATAAAGGCATGGCAAACTATGCGGTATTGCAATAATGCATCTCTTCCACTTAATAGCTTACTTTGAGTCCGAAAAGAAAGGCCAAAAGAAGGTGGGCCTCTCTCTGCACCCCTCTGGAAGATGAATTTACAGATTTACATTGCACATTATTTACATGAAACATCAAGCTGGCTAGTTACCTACAGCCCCTCTTGGTACTCCAGGATTCCCTAAACACAGATTTTCATTTCTACAGAATGAAAAATGGGAGAGGAACATGGTATGTATTTTAAAGTTAAGCACTTAACAGCAACTTATACATAAAGAGCAGATTTTTAAATACAGACTGTATGGCATTTCATGAGCTTCCTACCTTGACTGGCACCACTGCAGTTTGTACCATGTTCCTGAATCGACCAACTGAGGGATCCACATCCTCTGCAAAAAGAAATGAGGGCTGGGTTGGGCTGGTGCTATACTGGGAGGAATAAGGTACAGGGCTCACTGTAAACAAACCGTCACAACAACTCATATTAAAATAGTAAAATACAGTTAACACTGAGAGTGCTTCCTGGGTGCTGGGCATTGTGCTAAATCCTCACAAAGACGCTGTGACATAGGTACTACCACAATCAACATTTAGTAGATGAGAAAGCAAACTGAGGCTATGAGGAGTAAAGTGACTGGCCAAGTTGCTCTGGTGGAAAGGACAGGAGCCAGGACTTGAGTCCAGGTAGTTGAAATAGGTCTGTGATCTGCACCACTGTGCTGTGCTGCCTTCCCCAAGTTCTTTCTCATTCTGTATACTTCCCTCTTTTGAGGGGAAAGAAAAAAAGAGGAGATGTTGTCCGTTCCATATTAGCGACAAAATTGACGTGTCAATAGGTCACATACCACACACCTTGCTAATGCCTGTTTATTAGCAAAAAAACCAGATTTTGGATTCAAAGCCAGGGCTTCAAACTGAACCTGGCCTTTTGACTTGAACGGCCTGAACTATATATAAGTAAGACTTGCACTAAAGGCTGATGCCCCATCTACACAGGTAATAAGGAACAAGATACTGTCCTGCCCTTGATTAACCCAGTTACAGAGCCAGATAGGCTACAACACACAGAGGTGCTTCAAGAGAAGGGTGCAAGTGTTTCTGGAGCAGAGGGGGTGACTGGGCTGGATCACCAAGGATGCTGGAGTTTTCTCACTGAATGTTGAATGTGTAGAAATAGGCAGGCACCAACTTATGTACCACTACTAGACAAAACTACTCCAAGCCCCAATTAACCTAATACGGCGATAAAGAATCGTTTCCCTAATAGATGTTGCAATCTTATTTTAAATGAGGTTGCTTGTTATTGAAAGAAACACTCTCAGGAATCCCCCTGGAAAACAAAGAATCCCTATTTAATTTGAGTAATTAGAATTAGCCTTGGGTTTGTTTGCTTTCAGTCTGGATTTTCACATATTCAGATGCCTTTAAAGAGCATACTCTGCTATCAGGCTCACCATCAATCAATCTATGATCAATGAACGAATGGCTTCTATATGGAAGAGAAAGGAAAAAAATATCCAAGCTCATTAAGAAAGAGACAACGTCTCTCTTTTTTTTTTCCCATCCTAGAGAGGATCCCAGAGACAATGTCTATAAAAAGGTACCCCAATCTCTCATTGTCCCTCGGGTTTCAGAGCCTATGCTCTTAACCACTATGCTATACTGCTGGAATACACTTCCCTAAGAAAGCTCTAGGGCACTAATTTTCAATGAGTAAAACAGAGCAGATCTGGTCCTCACTCCTGAAAAAGGCTTAAGAAATCTGTCAGGCCAGGCATGGTGGCTCACGCCTGTAATCCAAGCACTTTGGAGGCCAAGGCAGGAGGCTGACGTCGGGAGTTCAAGACCAGCCTGACCAACATGGTGAAACCCCATCTTTAAAAAAAAAAAAAAAAAAAAAAAGAAATCTGTCTAGTCCAGTGGCTCCCAAATTGCTGGCTGTTGTACACACAGGAGCTCATTAGAAATATAAATTTTGGCCAGGTATGGGGGCTTATGCTTATAATCCAGTACTTTGGGAGACTGATGCAGGAGGATTGCTTAAGCCCAGGAGTTCAGGACCAGCCTGGGCAACATAACAAAACCCTGTTTCTACAAAACATACGAAAATTAGCTGAGCATGGTGGTGTGTACCTGTTGTCCCAGATACTCAGGAAGCTGAGGTGGGAGGATCACCTGAGCCTGCCTGGGTGGTCAAGGCTGTAGTGAGCTGTGACTGTGCCACTGCACTCTAGCCTGGGCAAAAGAATGAGATCTTGTCTCAAAAAGAAAAAAAAGAAAAACTAAAGATTATATAAATTTCTAGGTCCCACCCTGGAAACTTTTTTTTGGAGACAATATCACTCTATCACCCAGGTTGAAGTGCAGTGACACGATCTCGGCTCACTGCAACCTCCACCTCCCAGGTTCAAGCGATTCTCCTGCCTCAGCTTCTGGAGGAGCTGGGACTATAGGTGTGTGCCACCACACCTGGCTGATTTTTATATTTTTTTGTAGAGGCAGGCTTCTGCCATGTTGGCCAGCCTGGTCTTGAAATCCTGGCCTCAAGCAATCTACCAACTTCAGCCTCCCAAAGTGCTGGAATTACAGGCATGAGCTACCACGCCTGGCCAACCACAGCTTTTTTTCTTTTTTTTTTTTTCTGTTGCCCAGGCTGGAGTGCAGTGACACAATCCCCGCTCACTGCAGCTTCTGCCTCCTGGGTTCAAGCAATTCTCCTGCCTCAGCCTCCCCAGTAGCTGGGACTACAGGCAAGCACCATCATACCCAGCTAGAGAGAGAGAGAGAGAGAGAGAGAGTGTGAGTGTGTGTGTGTGTATTTTTTTTTAGTAGAGATGGGGTTTCACCATGTTGGCCAGTCTAGTCTTAAACTCCTGACTTCAAGTGATCCACTCTCCTTGGCCTCTCAAAGTGCTGGGATTACAGGCATGAGCCACCTGTGCCCAGGCCAACCACAGCTTTTTCATTAGAATGAACTAGCAAGACACCTCACCTGGGTTGATGATCTCATCATCCTCACTGAATGTCACCCGGGAGTTCTTCCTCTTCCTCTTTGGTCTTTGAATGTCCAGATTTCCCTCTTCAATGGTAAGGGTAGAAATCCGCTTGTTGTGGGCAGTGTTGAACTCTGTCAGGTTCTAAGCCAGGGTTCATACAGGAAAGACAGGAGTCAGTACAAAGGGAATCTGATGGAGAAAATAATACTAAATAAAGGTCAGGAAGGCATGAGGGGCTAATCCTGACTTACAAAGACAGATGAGACTCTTCTGCATTTAGAGAAGATCCATACTATCCGGAGACTACTAATACTAACAAGTCTCAAATCTCATTAGAAAGAAGGCAGAAGGAACATCCTCATTGACTAGTGGGGCGGGATATTCAAAAGGAAGTAAAGGGCCTTGAGCTGAGAACAGGTCCATCTGTGCAAATACTTGAGTTTTTTTTTTGTTTTTTGCTGTTAAAGACTCTCATGTCTTCATGCCCACAACAAGCTGATATTAAAAGGAGATGTGGCTGGGAGGAACGCCAATAATTGTTTTAAAGTAACAAAACAGAGATGAAAAAGGACAACTGGCTGCTTCTTTCCCAGTAGCTTTCTCCTTTAAAATTAAAGAGACTGCTAGTGCCCTTAATTTTTGGCGTTAATATTTTGTCATTCCCCATTGTGGCCCCAGTTCTTCATAACTATCTCAATAATTAACTTGGCCTTAGCAGTGTTGCTTGCCTCTTCCCAATCCATTGAAATTATTCCATTCTGGTACAAAACACCAGTTTGAGATATTCTAAATGTCTTAAGAATGAATATTCAGGGAGCACCTAACATGCTGAACTAAAAGCCATGGAAGCACAGAAGCAGCCTGGATAGAGGCAGCCTGAAGGGGAAATGGGCAACAGTGACTGCCAGCAAGGTCCCTGGCTATGAAGCCACTTCTTCACAAAAAAACGACTTCTAAACTGTACAATTTCTTTTTTTTTTTTTTTTTTTTTTTTTGAGACGGAGTTTCACTCATGTTACCCAGGCTGGAGTGCAATGGCGCGATCTCGGCTCACCGCAACCTCCGCCTCCTGGGTTCAGGCAATTCTCCTGCCTCAGCCTCCTGGGTAGCTGGGATTACAGGCATATGCCACCATGCCCAGCTAATTTTTTGTATTTTAGTAGAGACGGGGTTTCACCATGTTGACCAGGATGGTCTCGATCTCTTGACCTCGTGATCCACCCGCCTCGGCCTCCCAAAGTGCTGGGATTACAGGCTTGAGCCACCGCGCCCGGCAACTGTACAATTTCTATTGTGCTTTTCTTCCTAAGAGCTGGGAAACTGCTCTGGTGTACAGGAATAGTAAATGCATGTGGGTGGTTAAGGACATGACTGCATTTGGTCTATTTGAACAGACCAGTCACACCAGTGCAGTGACAGACATGTGAAGGTATAGCCACACCACAAACTACTGGGGTCAGCCTCAAAAAAGGAAAACTTCTAGTACCTTAAAATTAAATCTTATAAAATTCATGGGCTTCAGGGCAGCAAGGCCCATAAAAACAAAAGCAGTCTGGCTCTATCCAGAAGATTCCTGGGCTATTCAGACAGCATCAAAAAAAGTTACATAAATGAATGAAAGTGTCAGTCTCTCTATGCCAGTGCTGTCTGACAGAACTTTCTGTGAGGATAAAAACGTTCTCTCTTTGCACGATCCAGGTATGGCAGCCACTAGCCATATGTGATTACATAATACTTGAAATATTGTTAGTGGCTACCACATTGGACAGCATTAACTCTAAGCAGTTAAGGGACAGAGAAATGTAACTTCCAGTCTTAGCTTCCAATAGCCAGTGAAGGTGCACACAACAGCTCAAGGGGTCTAGTTGCTGGGACACAGGGACCCAGTCGGCCTTTTTTTTTTTTTTTTTTTTTTGGAGATGGAGTCTTGCTCTGTCATCCAGGCTGGAGTGAAGTGGTGCAATCTCCATTCAGTGCAATCTCCATTCACTGCAATCTCTGCCTCCCAGGTTCAAGCAATTCTCCCAAGTAGCTGTGACTACAGGCATGCACTGGCACGCCTGGCTAATTTTTTTTTTAATTTTATTTTAGTAGAGACGAGGTTTCACCATGTTGCCCAGGCTGATCTCAAACTCCTGAGCTCAGGCAATCCGCCCGCCTCAGCCTCCCAAAATGCTGGGATTACGGGCGTTAGCCACCGCGCCCAGCCAGACCCAGCCTCCTTGTTACGCCTGGTGATACATAATCAAATCTATACAATGTGACTCTCTGAGAAGTGTCACAACTGGCCACACGATATTGCCAAAGGCCCATTACTGGACTCAACAGAACCTCCTGCTGCTAAGTCACTGGCATTTCCAGCTACACAGAACAGCTATATATGGCAAAAACCAGGATCCCAAAAGATAAGACAATGACATAAACAGGAAATTACATCAAGCTCAGTTTCCTCCTCTGGAAGCCCCAGTAAGCCCTTGAGTTCATCATCCTCTCCACCCATCTTCTCATCTCCTTTCACAGCCGATGGCAATGTCTGAGGCTTCTCGCGCAGAGTGTACGCCCTTGTGGATGCACCAAATGAGACCGTGGAATCGATGGGAATTTGCTGAGGCTTGTGAGGTTCCAACCGAATATGACCCAAGAAAGTGCCGTGTGCTGGGAATAACCAAATCAGAAACGTAAGGGAAAACAAAAACAACCTGAGTTTTAGAAGGGGGAATATGATCGCCAACTCTCTTATCAGGTCAGCTTCCCCCTAGCACATCAGTTTTGCTTTTTTGTCTGTTTTCTATTTATTTTAAAAATGCCATATTCAGGATTATGGTCAGAAAACTCAAGCATTTTAAAAAATGAAAATAGCACTGGGTCCACTACATCCATCATGTGTTACAGCGAGAAGGAAACTCCTTCACTGAGCCTTGAATCTCTTCAGTGGGTTTCTTATATCCCCAGACTGGTTTTTCCCCCAAATAACAAATATCACTGCCCGTTCTCTGCTGCCATACAGAATTGGCTCCATTCTGGGTCAAATAAGAATGACCCCAACCCAGCAGAAGCCATACCTCCCAAAGCAGGAGCTTGGCATCACTGTAGTTTTCCCTCTCCAGCCCCAAGTCAACGAACATAGAAATTGCTGGCCTGGTACCAGTTATGTTTAGGTTTTCCCCAGGCCAAGGGCGAGCTTGACTGAAACATATGCAATATCAATGCCAAAGCAAGCCAAAATCCTACTAGAGATTCTGAATATCTTCCCCTGTTGCTATTCTTGCATAATATGAAATGGGAGAGAAAAGATAAGTATTTGTGAGACAAAGCTCTCCAAGTCCCTTACATAAGCAGATTAGGGTGATATGTGAGTGTGTGTTGCTGTGTGTGGTAGTAGGAGAGTGGTGGAGTCCAACATGGTATGCCCAGGAAGCAGGACCCCTCATATTTTACACTGTATTCATACATGGGCAAAATGAACAAACTTCAGGACCCCAGGCAGTTAAATCTCAATTGCATTTCTGTGGATTGTCTTAGGCGAAGCTTAAACTCTTATTAATTGGAGTATGCTTATGGAATGATTTTATTTTTATTTTTTTGGGAGAGGACTTGCTCTGTCACCCAGACTGGAGTACAGTGGTCTGATCATGGCTCCCTGCAACTTTTACCTCCTAGGCTCAAACGTTCCTCCCACTTCGGTCTCCCAAGCAGCTGGGACCATAGCGCACGCCACAATGTGGGACTAATTTTTTGGTTTTTTTTGTAGAAATGGGGGTCTCATTATGTTGCTCATACTGGTCTTGAACTCCTGGGCTTGAGAGATCCACCAACATCGGCCTCCCAAAGTGCTAGGATTACAGGTATAAGCACCGCACCTGGCCTTCTTATGAAATTAAAACTTGGTATTATTCATAGTCAAAGCAAAACGGAGCTGGGATAAAGAGCCAGAATAATTAAATTTTCCTCAAGACAAGCATTCTTAAAATGCCCTGCATTGCTGCTCTATTACATTAATGGAGCTACTCATGGCTTCTGCTTAAACTGAATCACAGTTTATTATGGTCCTATAAACACTTGAACATGCATGGTCCCTAGTTCCTGGGAGCCTTTTTTTCTTTTTTTTTTTTTTGAGACAGAATCTCACTGTATCACTCAGGCTGGAGTGCAGTGGCGCAATCTTGGCTCACTGAAACCTCTGCCTCCTGATTATCCTGCCTCAGTCTCCTGAGCAGCTGGGATTACAAGCACCCACCACCACGCCCAGCTAATTTTTGTATTTTTGGTCGAGGCGGGGTTTCACCATATTGGCCAGGCTGGTCTCAAACTCCTGGCCTCAAATGATTCGCCCACCTCGGCCTCCCAAAGTGCTGGGATTACAGGAGTAAGCCACTGCAACCGGCTTTTTGTTTGTTTTAAAAGAGATGGGGTCTTTTTCTATCGTCCAGACTGGAGTGCAGTGGAGTGATCATAGTTCACTGCAGCCTTGAACTCCTGGGCTCAAGTGACCCTCCCACCTTAGCTTCCCGAGTAGCTACAAGTGTGTGCTACCACATCCAGCTCATATGTACTTATTGATTCCTCCAGGACAGTGTTCCCCAAAGCCCTCTTCTCTCTCCAGTCAGTTATCAATTATCTCAGGAAAATAGAAAAATCACAGAAATAGAGAAGGGTGGGTTTAAAAACCAAACATTAACTTTTCCCGTAAAACATGATTTCCAAACTAAAGAACCCAAACAGCATCATATTGCCCAAAGGTAACATGTGAATTGGGAGGGAATTACTTACTACTGTTGAGATCTATCAGGAAAACTCTCTTCAGATGCTTGTGGTAGACAAGTGCAGCATGGACTCGAGAGCAAGACTGGTGGTCAATGGTAAAGTCACACAAATCAGGGTTTCTCCCAAATAAGTAATACTTCTTCTCATCAATAATCAGTTTCTAAATAAATATTAAATTAAATATTACTTGAATCTTGTTTCAACAGCATTTACTAAAAACTGTTCCAATCAAATAAGGAGAGAATCTTGAATAGATAAAATTCCTTTCCATCAGATTGATTTGAGTAATCACTTCATTTTCTTGCATCGAAAAAAGAAAAAATCCTTTCCAAGGAGAAAAAAATATCTCCCGTTATTCTTCAACATAAAGAGCTCAGAAAAATTTACTAAAATAACATTTTTTTGGAGAATGGATGGTAATTCATCTCCCCAACATAGTGTTCAATTGTCTAGTTTTGGAATGAAAATATTTTTTTTTCTTTCTTTCTTTCGTTTTTTGAGATGGGAGTCTCACTCTGTTGCCCAGGCTGGAGTGCAGTGGCATGATCTTGGCTCACTGAAGCCTCCACCTCCCAGGTTCAAGCTGTTCTCCTACCTCAGCCTCCTGAGTAGTTGAGATTACAGGTGCCCACCACCACGCCCGGCTAATTTTTGCATTTTTAGTAGAGATGAGGTTTCACCATATTGACCAGACTGGTCTTGAACTCCTGACCTCAGGTGATCAGCCAGCCTCTGCCTCCCAAAGTGCTGGATTACAGGTATAAGCCACCATGTCCGGCCTCAGCTGAATTCAGCTTTATAAAGAAGTCGTTACACCTGTCCTTGTATTTGTTTTAATCCTGGATCAGTAATGCCTTTGTGACAGGATTATAAACTGGACTGTTATAGACAAAAGACTCTAGATGAATTATTACTAACACTTCTTCCAGTGCTAGTGGTCTAGTGAGCACTTGAGGAATAACTCTCATTCAGGTATGCTGTGTTTTTCCTTTAAACACGAGGTCTCATTAAACTCTAGTTCACATTTCACACTATACTCCTAAAATCCCTGAGAAAATATAGCACAAAGCTGAGTAGAGTATAGTCAAGTTAGTACCAGGTTGGTAATCAAGAAGCTTGTATTTCATTCCTGGCTAAGTCCTTTAACTCACAATGGGCTACTATTCTCCCCTTACAAAACCAAAGAAGACACCTCATGCAAGCACACTTTCAGCACTGACAATAGTAACAACTGCTAGGTGCTTCTATACCACACACTATGCTATGAGTTTTACGTTATGTCATTTCATCCTCACAACCACCCTATAAGGTGGGTAATACTATTCTCTTCCTATTTTTATAAATGACAAAATTGAGGCATAAAGAAATTAACATACTCAGGTTCACACAGCTAGATACTTGTGAGCTGGGTTAGAAATTCAGATTTGTCTAGCTTCAGAGTCTAAGCTGTTTTAACCACTACATTACATATTTTCTTCATTCTACTTACATCAAAAGATGTACCATATGGCAAGGAATATTTTAAGGAGTGAATAAGCACTGTGGGTCACACTCTCTTACTTAAACAATCACTTAGCAAGTTTCTTTGAAGCTCAGCCTTAAGGTTCAATTAATTCAAGCTAGCTTGGATATGTGGGTCACCTCTGGGAAACCCTGTCTGGCAGCGATCATCTGCTGCTGGTAAAGCTTGCTCCAGGCCCATACTACTATGGAGAACCAGGATTCAACAACAGCCTGACAGCTCAGTCAGTTACCTTCATGTTTGCTTTGACCCAAGTTTCTTCAGTTAAAAATAAAGACATTATTTCATGATTAAGAGAGAGCCCTGAAATTTCAACATCTTGTTCTCTCTAGGTAATATCTACTCGGGCTGAATCTCATTGCATTTCTCATTCATATTTATATGCACATGGATTATGCTGTCACAAACTTAAATTTGCTAACCACAGTACTCACAGATTGGCCTGAAGGAACATGAAAGAACACCAGCTCTTGGGTTTGAAAATAACAATGACTAAATTTCTATGAATCTAGGGTGCCAGTAGACATACCAGAGATTTAGGAATTTCTCTTTGAGAGGAAAAAAAAAGAGGATCTCCAAATTAAATGTACACATTCAGTATTAAAGGCACCCCAATTACAGAAATGTTAAAATGTAAGAAATTCTTTTTGAGATGGAGTCTCGCTC